ACATTTGAAGCATCTCTTGAGGCATCAAAGTACTGTACATGCAGGCACATGAAATTACATACGAGTATGTGACATAAGCCCACCATTGCACAACTTTGTCTGCAACAATGAAAATACAACAAATGCAAATACAATCAAGCTGGAAACGGATTTTATCAGTATTTTGATATATACATTATGGCTCATGTCTAAAGACACCTGCACTTTCATATTGAAATTGTTCTAATATCATCCAAACAAAACACATCAGAAAACTGTAACATCAGCCAAATGGGCAAATCATTTTTTTAACACAATTTATGGTAAAATGAAGCAACATGTAATAGTATCTGAAACAAAACATTAACTATGAACAAAACCAAATCACATATTATTCAAAAGTTGTAAACACTGTCACTGTTGCATATATGATATAACAAAATATCGTCGCATTTCCAGTGGTAACTAACTATAAATTAGGCCAATTGGGCTATTCCATTTAATATCCGTACCCCCCCTGTCGAGGATCCCTGGAATTCTTCAGGGGTAAAGAGTTTTGAGCTTGGAATTCTTCAGGGGTAAAGTGTTTTGAGCTTGGAAATCTTCAGGGGTAAAGTGTTTTGAGTTTGGAATTCTTCAGGGGTAAAGGGTTTTGAGCTTGGAATTCTTCAGGGGGAAAGGGTTTTGAGCTTGGAATTCTTCAGGGGTAAAGAGGTTTGACTTTGAAATTTTTCAGAGCTTGAAATTCTTCAGGGCTGAAGGGTTTTCAGCGTGGAATTCTTCAGGGGTAAAAGGTTTTGAGCTTGGAATTCTTCAGGGGTAAAGAATTTTGAGCTTGGAATTCTTCAGGGGTAAAGGGTTTTGAGCTTGGAATTCTTCAGGGGTAAAGGGTTTTGAGCTTGGAATTCTTCAGGGGTAAAGGGTTTTGAGCTTGGAATTTTGGAATTCTTCAGGGGTAAAAGGTTTTGAGCTTGGAATTCTTCAGGGGTAAAGGATTTTGAGCTTGGAATTTTGGAATTCTTCAGGGGTAAAAGGTTTTGAGCTTGGAATTCTTCAGGGGTATAACCATGAAAACCATGTATCCTCGACAGGGGGTGTACGGATATTAAATGGAATAGCCCATTTAAACTCGACTATGAAGAATATCAAAAACTAAAGGTCGTGTTTCAGTTTATAAACCCAGACTTTGGTTTTATAAATATAAACATTATAAACGGTATTAAACGCTATACGAAGCCAAATATGAAGGCACATTTTGCCCTAAATACTCGGTCAGAGCCTCAGAGGTGTGTTCTAGTACACAATTAATCTTCTCTCACAGTTTAAAACAAACAATAATACTAACCTTCGACAAATTGTGTATAAATCTTAACGAATTTAACCATTTTGCCACAGATTTTGCCAAAAATATTTCTTAGACGGACAAAGTATTAAATCACTCCTTGCATGAAATGTTAATTTATCCCAAAGTTTGAATAAATTAATCCAAGATTGCATTATTTGCATAATAATGTACTTGTCATTGACCAATCAGAATACATAGAAGACCGGCCGGTGCCAGGGCCTTTTCCCGCCTTCCCAATGACAAAAAGGGAAAGGCCCTGGGAACGAGGTTGGGCTCTCACAATCAAATTTTCGAATTCCTTAGAAAAAGCTCGAAAATTCCTCAGATTTCCTTAAAATTCCTTAAATTGGTAAAATTACCAGAAGGCCTGATCACACAGTTGCAAAAAGTGTTTTTTTCCTCCTTTTTGCAGTTTTTATAACCTTGTTTCTAAGCATTTGATTGTTAGCGTAATGCCATAAAGAAATCATTCAACATGATGTATTTTTGATTGTTGATTAAAAAATCTGTAGATTTCAGAAGAAACAGCATATACTGACATTTAACTTTTGAGAATTTTAATGAAAAGACCTGTGGCGGACACTTTACGAAATATTGGGGGGGGGGAGGCTCGTGCCAAAGGCACGGAAAAATTTTAAAATTTGAATCCCGGAAATGGCATTTGCAGCGTTCTGAGAACACATTTTGTGAAAAACTAGGGTTTCAAAACACTGTTTTAAGTTTTGTTATAAATCACATGCCAAGCCATGTACAGAAACATATACTATTATATTATGATGACAATTACGTTATATGAGTGTGATTTGTGTTATTTGGTACTGGAACCAAATTGGTACAGGAACATAAATGTAATTATATGCGTATAATGTTGCTACTTTCAAGTTTAGATCTCATTTGCGTGGCGTAGTTATCCTCTGTCCAACGTTTTTAGTCCAGGATAAAATGTTTCGGAAATTCCTTAAAAAAATCCTCAAAAACCTAAATTCCTTAAAAAAATTCTTAAAAGTCTTCAAAATTCCTATTTTTAAGGATAATTCCTTAAAAGTGAGAGCACTGACGAGGGGCGCAATTGCGCAAAAGAGATTAGGAATCCCGCCAAAACTTGGCTTATAAATTAATTAAATTAATAAATTATTAATTATTAATTACAGTAATAATTCCGTATTTTAAAGATTCCGGCTTTTCTCATTCCGGGTTTTAAAGATTCCGGCTTTTCTCGTTCCGGGTTTTAAAGATTCCGGCTTTTCTCGTTCCGGGTTTTAAAGATTCCGGCTTTTCTCGTTCCGGGTTTTAAAGATTCCGGCTTTTCTCGTTCCGGGTTTTAAAGATTCCGGCTTTTCTCGTTCCGGGTTTTAAAGATTCCGGCTTTTCCCGTTCCGGGTTTTAAAGATTCCGGCTTTTCCCGTTCCGGGTTTTAAAGATTCCGTCTTTTCTCATTCCGGGTTTTAAAGATTCCGTCTTTTCTCGTTCCGGGTTTTAAAGATTCCGGCTTTTCTCGTTCCGGGTTTTAAAGATTCCGGCTTTTCCCGTTCCG